TATATAGACTGTACAGGATGTCAGAAGATGGGTCCTGGGAGAGGTGTATATTTCCCTTTGTTCGGGTTGTGGTCCCTTTAAGGGACAGGAATGGGTTAATACCTGCTGCAGGAAGTGTGTTCAAAAGGATAGGAAGCTAGAGACAGGGAGAGGGAGAGAGAAGCCCTGATTAATGTTTGCAGACAAGGCTGTGGAGCAGATGGAAGTACTGGTGCTGTGAAGCAGCCGACCTTTACTGGGAGCCTGTGGGCTGAGAGAGAAACTCTGAAGTTAAGAGTGTGATAACCTTGTGGACTGAAACTCTCCAAGCCGGTGAGGCTGTTATTCTTTTCTGTGCTGAAGGAAGCAAACGGTACAGTTTATTATTTCTATGCTGAAGGAAGCAATCTTTTAAGTTGTTTTGCTGTACTGAAGGAAATTACTGTTTATTGTTGCTGCTATGGAAAATAAATGCAGTTTGTCTGATAAAGCCTGTGTCCTGCGGTCCAGCTAATTCCCCAAACATCACAATACATACACACTATATTACCAAAAGTATCAGGACGCCTGCCTTTACACGCACATGAACTTTAATGGCATCCCAGTCTTAGTCCTTAGGGTTCAATATTGAGTTGGTCCACTCTTTGCCGCTATAACAGCTTCAACTCTTCTGGAAAGGCGTCCACAAGGTTTAGGAGTGTGTCTAGTTCCTCCACCCCAAACTCGCTCATCCATGTCTTTATGGATCTTGCTTTGTGCACTGGTGCGCAGTCATGTGGGACCATTCCCAAACTGTTCTCACAAAGTTGGGAGCATGACATTGTCCAAAATGTCTTGGTATGCTGAAGCCTTAAGAGTCCCTGCACCGGAACTAAAGGGCCAAGCCCAACCCCACACCATAATCCCCTCTCCACCAAACTTTACATTTGGCACAATGCAGTCAGGCAAGTACCGTTCTCCTGGCAAACGCAAAACCCAGACACGTCCATCGGATTGCCAGACAGAGAAGCGTGATTTGTCACTCCAGAGAACACATCTCCACTTCTCTAGTGTCCAGTGGCAGCATGCTTTACACCACTGCATCCGAGACTTTGCACTTGGTGACATAAGGCTTGGATGCAGCTGCTCGGCCATGGAAACCAATTCCATGAAGCTCTCTACGCACTGTTGTTGTGCCAATCTGAAGGCCACACGAGGTTTGGAGGTACTTAGCTATTGACTCTGCAGACAGTTGGCAACATCTGTGCACTGTGTACTTCAGCATGCGCTGACCCTGTTCTGTCATTTTACGTGGCCTACCACTTCGTGGCTGAGTTGTTGTTCCTATTTGCTTCCACTTTGTTATAATACTACAAACAGGCGACCGTGCCTGGAAGCTAGTAGCAAGGAAATTTCACGGAACACATGAATCCAATGATTTGGAGGGATGTCCCAATAATTTTTACAATATAGTGTGTGTAGTTACACTGAGTGGCCAGATTATTATGACCACCCCATCAGTACTTCGTTAGCCACATTTAACCTTCAATACTGCGGCGATTCTTCTTGGCATTGACTCCACGAGATGTTGAAAGGTGATGCGAGGAATCTGACACCATGCCTGATGAATAGCATTGTCCAGTTCTGTGAGATTTGATGGTTTGTGATTGTGCAAAAAATTCCTCAGATGATTCGCAGCCAATGTGCATATAACTCTCAGGTAAGGATAATCACACAATGCAGGCAGACCTTCACCTCCACCCAGTGAGTGATGATAACAAGTGAATGCTCACCTGGGGAGGTAGAACCACAGAGCTAGGTCAAATGCACTTTTTCCCCTCTTTAAGAAGGGAAAAAGTGCATTTGACCTAGCTCTGTGGGTCTACCTCCCCAGGTGAGCATTCACTTGTTATCATCACTCACTGGGTGGAGGTGAAGGTCTGCCTGCATTGTGTGATTATCCTTACCTGAGAGTTATATGCACATTGGCTGCGAATCATCTGAGGAATTTTTTGCACAATCACCATTGTTTGCGTTTGTTTTTTCCTTGGGACTTTTTTTGCCTATATTGCTTTTTTGTATGTGTGTAGATATTTCTTATGCCTCATTTGTTTGAAGGCTCATATATGTGACTCATTTATATATGTTTCAATTTATTAGATATGTATGATTATTAGCTCGGCACAATATTGTTTTTTCACATTTTACAGATATTTAGTTATATCCTTAGTGCTTGGTAGCTCATATTTCCACATTACACTTACTGGCGCTGATCACCTTTATTGTTTAGTTTTATATATATATATGCCTCTGTAGAGCACCACATCTTACAATGGAGACTGTTTAGAACTTCACCCTAATATTCTTCACTTGGTCATATTTCCCAGACTGGATTCATGCACTCACAGAAATCCATGAGAAATGGTGACTTGTGTGGTTCTCTACTTGGTACCCTATACAGGGTACTACAATCCCCGCTCACATGTACATTCTTAGTTGCATGACTAAGGCTGGCCATACACTGATCTATTTTTTTCGTTAAACCCGCGGGCTGAACGAAAAAAAATAGACTTGATTCCTCCATCAACTAACAGCGTGTCGATCGAGGAATTCCACTGTTTACATCGTAATATCCGACCAGTGCGGATATCCTCGCTCAGTTCAGAACTGCTTATAGTCACGTGTGATTGGCGTATAGTAGGTTCGGGCCAGGCCTATCCATCACAGGGAAGATTTGCTAAAACTGGAGCAGACAGAATCTGCAGCAGATGTTCATAGTAACCAATCAGCTTCTCTCTTCAGATTGTTCCATTAGGCTTTAAAAATGAAAGTTAGAAGCTGATTGGTTGCCATGCACAGCTGCTCCAGATTCAGTCTGCTCTAGTCTTAGTAAATTTCCCTCATTGTGTTTAAGAACATTTTAGATATACTGTGCATGTGAAAGAGAATGGCTTCATGTGATCAATCTAATTTGTGTGCTAATGTTTATAATTTTATATATACAAGGGGCAACAATGTTTGTTCCTTACATTGCTTCTTGGTTTACAGTGCCACTTGAGTGATTTACTGCTTCCTCTGATAAAGCAACTTCATGAGTCAGCAAACTCATTCAAAACAATACTCTTACTATGCAGCTATAATCTTATCTCAATATTGACCCCCCTACAGTGGTAATAGCAAATCGGTAAACCCAAAAATGTAAAATGTTGCAGATTACCAGTTACAGCATGTACATAAAATACCTGTAGATCTTGCCATAAAAGCAGTGTCCTTTCTGCAAATTGAACTGAAATCACAAACAATGTTATCATCCTTCCATGATATCTTCTGTAAATTACATCAACCCCTCCCATGTATTGGAGATGGAGAAAGGATGACATGTTTGTAGTCATAATCAGGAGAGTTGGGGTGTATGAGAGGGAACAGTTTTCAATATATAGTTCCCACAGGCTGGCTCGCACAAATCACCCCTCTATGTCTCCCTCTTGAACATGGGCCGCTCTTTGCAGGAAGGACGCCGCGACCCACTGCAGAAGGTGTCGCGACCCACTTTTGGGTCGCGACCCATGAGTTGAGAACCACTGGTCTAGAGTGACAACCATTGCTACCTCCATAGATACAGTAGAGTAAAAAAAAGCCAGAACAAAGTTATGGGGTTTAGATAAACTTTATTACAATAACAAAAGTAATGGAAAAAGCAAGCATTTAAAAATGTGAAATTTCCCTCAAAATTACTTTTAAGGTAAATACTGCAGTAATAATAAAAAACTAAGTGCCCAGTAGAAATAAACACTTTCCATTTAACTCTGTAATGACTCTGTGGCTTCTTTGTCCTATCTCATGTCATCGAGAGCTAACTGGCGGCTTTATCTTATAGGGATAGGCAATGGCAATAAACTGTCACCTAACAGCTGCACTCAGATATCCGGTGGAATGCAGCCATTGGGCATCACTAATATGGCAGTGATTATATTTTTGAATCGTGTGACTGGTAATCAACTATGAACAGTATAAGATGTCCTTTTTGCTTCTTGCGAAGTTATAAAATGTCCATGACCTTCCAGCTCCATTGAAATGATACCAAAGCTTGGTTGTGTCTTTGCAGATGAACATTGCTGCATTTATATCAGATGGCTACTGTGTAGCAAGGGGCTGACACTGCCCTGTAGAGTGACAGCTAACTTCTTGGAGGCACGCTGGATTAGGGCACTGTTGGGGTGCACATTTTGAATGTGATGAAGGTGGGATTCCTGGCTGTCTGCTGTATATCCACAGTCCTCACAAACATAGAGTTTGTTCCTGCGCTCCTTATAGGCATAATTCTGTTGCACTCCATGTATTTTTTTCAAGTGTGACTCCAGCGAGCATCGCTGAGTGAAGGCTTTGTCACACAAGTGACATTTGTATGGGCGAACACCTACAGAGAAGAAAATGGGTAGTAAAGTTTTTGGACTGTATAAACGCTTTGCTTCAGATAGGCAACCTGCTGTACTATATTGCTGCTTGCAAAGATGAATATCCTATTCTATCCTTTATTATATAATATTTATTTATGTATTTCAGGTATTTATATAGCGCCGACAATTTACACTTTACATGGTTTCACATTCACATCAGTCCCTGCCCTCAAGGAGCTTACAATCTAAGGTCCCTATTTCACATGCATACATACAAGGGCCAATTTAGACAGAAACCAATTAACCTACAAGCAGTGTTGGAGGAAACCCACACAAGTGGGGGGAGAACATGCAAACTCCTTACAGATAGTGCTCTGGCCAGTATGCAAACCAAGGACCCCCTAGTGCTGCAAGGCATAAGCGCTAACCACTACACCACTGTGCTGTCCATGTGTAAGTTCCATTTTCACTTTGTGAAAAGTATTTGCATTTACGCTTTGGCAGTGAGATCCCACCTCTAGCACACACATTTGCCTTTCTACAGTGACATCTACCTCCAGCACACACAATGGCCTTTCAACAGTGAGATCCCACCTCCAGCACATACATTGGCCTTTCTACTTCTTCAGTGAACTAAAAAAAACTAAAGAAGTACCGTATTTTGCGGTCCATAAGACGCACCGGACCATAGGATGCAGGGAGGTCCGGCACGCCTTATGGAGCACTCGAGACTGTAGCTTCTGTCACAGCTTCTATGACAGAAGCTGTGACAGAAGCTGCAGTTAGTGACCGCTGAGACAGGTGGCGCTGTGATTACAGCGCCACGGTCTCAGTGATGACACAGAGCAGGCGAAGAACGTCTATTCTTCGTCTGCTCTATGGTTATCTCGATCGTCGCCGCTGCTCGGTTTTAATACGAGTGATCTCATTAGATCACTCGTATTAAACGAGCAGTGGCTCCTGCTGTTGAACTCGATCGCCGCCGCCGCTGCTCGGCTTTAATACGAGTGATCTCGTTAGATCACTCGTATTAAACGAGCAGTGGCTCCTACTACTCGCCCGGCGCCCGAAACTGCATGTCTCGGGCGTCGGGATTCGCTCCATAAGACGCAGGCACTTTTTCCCCCTCCTTTTGGGGGGAAAAAAGTGCGTCTTATGGAGCGAAAAATACGGTATATATAAATAAGATTACAAAATACGAGAGTAATGCGGTATGCGGTGATACCTTTTTATTGTACTAACCTAATACTTAGAAGACAAACTTTCAAGAGTTTTTCTTTCTTCCTCAGGTATTGCTTCAGACTTGAGAAAGAGGAAAACTCTCAAAAGCTTTTCAATTTCAGCAAATACCAGGGCTGTGTAAATAATCACCTATAGCGATAGAGGACTACAAACCGCAGCAATACATTATACAGAAAAGCAGAATAATACCACCAGCTGTAACGGGACTACAAATCCCATCAATACATTATACAGCCTTGCAAAATAATACCATTAGCTATAGAGGACTACAAATCCCAGCAAAACATAGAGCAATGCAGAATAATAGTATATACATTTGCCACCTACCCTGTGCTGCTGCTCTACTCTGGGGTTCTGGCCTAATGTATTGTGCAGAGCTTGTCAGGAGGGGTGGGGAGGGTCTTAGTAAGGGGAGTTGTGCGGGTGGTAAGTATGTAAGTGCTGGTATCGGTTTTTAGTATTGGGACAGAGGTCAGTTATAACGCAGAGTGCGGAGGACAGCAATGTAACACAAAGTGCGGAAGTCAGTAATGTAACGCAGAGTGCGTAGGTCAGTAATGTAACGCAGAGTACGGATGACATCAATGTAACGCAGATTGCGGATGACAGCAATGTAACGCAGAGTGCGAATGACAGCAATGTAACGCAGAGTGCGGATGACAGCAGTGTAACGCAGAGTGCGGATGACAGCAGTGTAACGCAGAGTGCGGATGACAGCAGTGTAACGCAGAGTGCGGACGACAGCAGTGCAACGCAGAGTGCGGATGACAGCAATGTAACCCCCCCCCTTGAATAAGGAAAGTTTTTCATTGCCTTTCATTGAAGAGATTTTTGCTTTTTTGCTCTACCACACAATAACCTACTACACCGTGCGTCCTAGAGACCCCGGCGTCCTGTCCTCTCGTGGTGCTCGTGTGGCCGACGTTGCACATGGGGAGAGGTGTCCTGCCCCTTTCATCTACAGCGTCTGACACATTCAGCTGGCAGCCGCACAAGCACCGCGGGAGCATAGCCGTAGCCAGCTCCTTTTGCGCCTGAGCCAAGAA